GCCGGTGGCTCTCTCGGTAGAGTGCGGTGCTGATAACACCAAGGCCACGGGTTCGGATCCTATATAGGGATGGCTGGTTTGCTCACTGGCTGAGCGTGGTGCTGACAACACCAAGCCAAGGGTTGAGATCCCCTTACCGGTCATCTTTTTAAAAAAAAAAAAAAAAAACACATGGTCATCTCTTAATAATCACTGGAAAATGATATATATAAATAATATGCAGAAGATGATAAAAAAGATGCAAAATGAAAGTTATCATCAGTAAAGAATCTGTACAAATGCTATATGCAAAGATAAAAAAGGGTCTGTGAACTTTCTTTCACTTAAGTTTTTTCAAGAACAAAAAAGAAGAAACAATGCCAAAGATCTCTGAGTATAGTCCATTGGCAAAACAATTGTACGTACAACTAAAAACATACAGAACTCAAAAGACAGTGGTCTTTGGGTTGCTCAGTGCACCAGGTAATTAAAGGCAATGAGTCCCATGATCTTTTAGGGCAAAATGAGTGCATCCTTTCTGGGGGGGGGAAAGGGGGTAATTGTACCATCATACAAAGACCCATTTTTCTGCTTTGACCACTATTTATTTAGTCAAGTGCCAAATGATAAGGAGGAAAAGACAATCCTCGGAAGAATACCTAAAATTAAGAGTCATCATGCCGAAGGGACACCTGTACTCCCACGTTTATTGCAGCACTATTTACAGCCAAGAGTTGCCAGCCTAAATGCCCATTATCAAATGAGTGGATAAGGAAAATGTGGCATATTCACACAATGGAATACTACTCTGCTATAAAAAAAAATGAACTACAAATCGCAGCACCATGGATGGACTTAGAGAAAATTATATTAAGTGAAATAAGCCAGACACAGAAAGAGAAATACCACATGATCTCACTAATTTGTGGGAGCCAATAAAAATAAATAAATCGATAAATGCATATAGACAGAGAAATAGATGCAGAAATAAATATAGGTGTGTGTGTTTGCATGGGTGAATATGCACACGTTTCCCAGCTGTGTCTGCTAAGGGAGCTTTAGAAAACATCATGCCTCTTAGCAATGAGTACATCAAATGCCCAGATCCTGGTTTCTAAGTACCACTACCCAGTAAAGGGAAGGAGGCGGTCCGTGGAAAAGTGGTAGATTCCAGATAACATTTCTCATCTATATATTTGACAAAAATCCAAAAGTTCGGCCGCATATTCTGTTGGCAAAAGCTATGGGAAAACAGAATCTCTCAAACATTGCTAATGGGAAAAGAAAATGGTCCAGGCCTACGGAGATAAATACATGAGTTGTTACCCTTTGACACAATATCAAAATCTAAGGATGTACCCAAAGACGCACCGAGACAAGTGTATCCTAAGGTTA